AGGTTATGAGGCAATGCACAAAGATGTACTTGCACATGGTCAATAGAATATTTATAAACACAGCATTTTTTGTGATTCTCAAGTTGACCATTAAGCCGATCGGTTATATTATGTTAATAATTTTTATTTAAATTATTTTCAAGTATAATTTTTTTTTTATAAAATAGTATATACAACTATGACAAATTAATGGTTAGATCGACCAAAATATTATTATCCCATTTAAGAATATGGCATGAAAATTGAAGGTCCATTGGAAATGCTGCAAGTGAAATCCAAATTCTTATCCAACTTTTGGAGCTTCACACGAGAATAAACGAAGAATTATCTATTGCCTTGGAAAAATGCGCGTCGCAATAAATGCAATGCCTCAGTATTGTCACAAAATTAATTAGATAGATAAGTATTGCTCAGTTTTACAGCACAGTGCATTCAAGTTTGTCAAATGCCAACTATCGTCTATCCCTCAGGCCTCAAGTAAAAGCCCAACGAGAGAACGTAGGTTTCTTGTCAGCTGTTAGCTAGAGTGTCATATTTTTCTAATAAATATAGAAAAGTTTTTTTATTTAATTATCATATTTTAAAATATAATACAAACTACTAGTATGTGAATGAAAAATACTAAAAACAAGACAATAATCATTTTGTCACTAATTTTTTTTCTAGATCCATATTTAATTTATTTATATTTTTAATGATGAGCAGACCTAACCATTAGCCGACACACATCAAGAAATGTCATATTTTTAAAAAAACAATATAAATAAAAATGTCATTTGATAGTGTAAGTATGCGTTATTGTTAGCGACACACATCAGAAAATGTCATATTTTTAAAAAATAATATAAATAAAAATGTCATTTAATAGTATATGTGTTATTGTTCACATAATATGACAATTTGAACCACCTAAACTATTCTTATGAATGTATTTGTTTATTTGTATGCCAGTTAGTATTTTTCTCTCTGTTTTTCCTTTTCTTCTCTCCATTTTGTAACAAATACTCCCTCCATTTTGAAATATAAAACATTTAAGATTATTACACAAATATTAAGGAGACATTAATTAATGAATAAATTGACTAAATTAATTTTATTTACTCTAATCACAATTACTCCACACTTTCTTAATTTCAACACAATGAGGGTATATTTGGAAAAAAATGCAAAACTTTGCCTTGATTTTTTAGCGCGCCTTATATTTCAAAAAAAATGAGAAATCTTTATACGCCTTATATTTCAAAATAGAGGAAGTAGTTTATAGTATGTTTTTTAGCCAATTTATAAGACAGAGAGAATCAACTATATAAGTTTCTAGTACCCGTTACCAGCTAGCATTTCTCATCACAATCCACTTAACTACAATAGTTTTCAGAGACCTCTTATCAGACTTTACTCGGCCCCTTTTTGAGTTGGGCTCCTCGCCAATTCTATCCTCCATTTGATCCAAATAAGAATATTGGGCTCATCCAAAATTTTGATTACACATGCAAGTACAAGACTCTCTCGTAGAAATAGACATTCAGTTATTTATAAACTATAATTTACCTCTGCTTTATGGAATGAATTATTTTGTACTGACATATAATATGAAACAGAAAATATTTGGAAATGCGACACATATAGAAGAAACAGAGGATCACATGTCAATTTTGTGTTTGACCTTGTCCACCTGTCAATCTGCGTTTAATTCAAGTTTGTAAGATTATCAATTATTGAAAAAGTCAATCCTAAAGTGTCCTTTGGATCACAGTCACATGCACCAATGTACGTTGATCCAAAATAAAAATCATTTTCCCAATTATTGAAGTGTGTAATAATGTGTTCAAATAAACTTAGTTTATATCTTATTTGATTAGTTGATAAATTTTATATATTCAAATAAACTTGGTTAGTAAGACGAGCTTTTTAAAGATTATCTCATAAACTTTCATAGGTAGCTTTCCACATAAGTTCATTAAAATTTTTATTTCAGCTATCTTATCAGCTAATATTACCAAACAGTTTTATTATATAACTTAGCTTTTCAGCCATAAGTCAAAAGCTATCAACTATAAGCTCGATATTCACTTAAAAGCTATAAACTAGTTTATCAACTAGGTTTACCAAACATATCATATATTGTTGTCGATCAACCAAAGCTATGCACATATTAGGACCAATATCAAATTTTTAGTTCATCGAAAACAAAATTCTGACTCATGAGCACAATTATGCAATGTCCAGTGGCGAAGCTACGTTCAGTGGCTGGGGTCGTCCGACACCGACGCTTTGCGTTGAACCACTTGTACGTAACAAAATTACACCGTGTAAGACCCCATTAAAAAAATAATAAGACCCCGGCAACCAAAATTTCTGGCTTAAAGTTAGTATTATGGGTTTGTCCCGACCCCAGCAACCAAAATTTCTGGCTTCGCCCCTGGCAATGTCCCTACCACAAAGTGACTGTTACCAACGTTTGAATGAGTTTTCTATCACCACAACAAAAAGAAGAAAAGAAAAAGGAAAAGAAAAGCTCTCTCTAATCTATCCCCTTTCTTCATTCATGGGTCCCCATCAAAAGGGAACAACACAAGAAGCAAAAGAGAGTGATCACACTGTAAAAAAAGGTTTAATAACAATTATTGGAGTTAGACAAGAAAAAAGGATGAGAAAGTAGAAAGAAACACAGCCAATTGATACCAACTCTAGCTAACAACTCTAAAGCCAACTATGTGCTTTAACCAATATTTATGAATACCCTAAAACTTTTTAATCATCCAAGATTCAAGTTCTAAGGAATTTTCAAAGCTTTTTAGCAACAATCAAACCTCGCTCGGAAGGCCATCATATAAATTGTAATAACCAAATTTTCGTTTGATATGAACTGAATACAGTCATGTCATTCGATTTTTCTCAACAATGTATCAAAAGTCCATCCAAAAAGAGAAAAAAAAAAAAGATACAAAACATGTACAGATAATTTATTTCACCAGCAAGCATCAACATGTTCAAAACCGACATCATGACATAATATACGGAAAACTGGCCAAGTAATCACCATCCATGCACCAAATTGTATAGCTATACCATGTATCAAAAATCACCCTAATTCTTCTCAAGACAGCAAATTTCACACAGATAGCTAGCACAAAATAACTAATCCCAATTCCAACAAATTTAAAACCCGAAAAGAAAAAAAAAAAGAAAGAAAAAGAATGTACCGACACCTTTTTTCAAATGCCTTCTGTTCTATGCATCCATGGCAAGTCCAAATTCGGTGGAGATGAGCCCTCACCAGACGAGCTTGCAAATTTCCCCTTCTTCGACCACAACCAAATCTTTGAAACCGAATAGCTATCTGTCTTGGAGCCAATACCTATCCTTTTCCCCTCCATACTCGTATTATTATTATTACAAGATTGCCCTTTTTCCTTCACAACGCCTCGTTTACCCTGATCTTGGCTCAATGCCACTCGAAGATTAGCTTCACCCACAACATACTGATACGAACCCATCGAATAACACCTCCTCTCATCCAATTTACTACTGCTAGTTTCCCCAATCTCAACAACCCGAACTTCATTTTCGTCAACTTTCCTGAATTTTCCTAGCCTAACCGGAAAAATGCCCTTTTCCACAACAACATCATCCTCGACTTCAACTCTCTTCCGAGAAATCGGAATCGCAAACCGATTCTCATCCAAATCCTCTTCTCTAAAATCGTCATAATCGAAAATCGGATTTTCAATCGAAAAACCCGGATTGAAAACAGCCCCTCTACAAAGGGGGCAAGTCGAATTCGAGAGAAGCCATTTGTCTATGCAGCTGATGTGAAAAGCGTGGCTGCAAATGGGGAGAAGTCTCAGCTGATCGGTCTCGGCAAATTCGCATAAACAGACTGCACAGTCAAAGGGCTCCTTGGGGCCTAAGATTTCTTTGTAAGAGAAAACGGGCAGGGCATCGATGAGAGTTTGATCCAAACCCGAGTCTTGAAGATGAAAGAGCTGCTGAAGCTGCCTTTGAAGAGTGTTGTTGTCCGGGTTAGAAGAAGCTTCTGGGCTGAGATTGGGTCGGGATGAAGAAGGGTTTTTTGTGAGGAAGCGGACGAGCAAGTGGAGAATGCCGGATATGAAGAAAAGGACGGCTAGGATGACTATGATGAATAGAAGGGCTGGGCTGATTTTGGATCCGGATCCGGGTTGGGGTGGATCGGGTATTTTTTGAAAAACGGGTTCGATTGGGGGTGAGTATTGGGTGATTTGGTGCCTAATCCAGGAGATTTTAAGGTGGGCGTGATGATTGTGANTGTGAAAGGGAAACAGTGCTGGAAATGGTTCAAAGTTCAAACACTTGGTGAGCAGAAAAAATAAAAAAGAAAAATGTAAAAGCCCCCCTTCAAGTGGGAGCCATGAGAAACTGAGACCAATTCCAATATCCTTCTAATTTGGGCTGAAGCCTAAAACAGAAATCAAATTAGAGAAATGGAAAAAAAGAAAAAAAAAATGCAATCTTGATTGCAAGAGGACGGAGCACACGCAACAGGTGGTCTCATGCTAATAAAGTAATAAACAATTTGTGTGTGTTCTCAAATTGTAATAGAAACACCCAATTGTTTCAAATGATGTGAAAGGTTGACAAAAATCAGTAACTTCAAAGATTGGGTTCTTTTACCTACTCCGAAGAAGAAGATTGCCAACGAACACCTGTTATCGTTGGATAATCTAAACATGTACACGAATCTTACAGCTGCAGTAAAAAAGAAAACCCTAACAGGGGCTTGGAATCTCCCTGAGCAATGAGCATAAGATAAAAAAATGGAAACTTTTCTGAGCCTTCTTCTCTCTCGCGCAAAAAAACAAAATATATATCTGCTCATACACAAGCGTATAGCCAAGAATTTACTGTACATGTACCAGAAGAAAGAAAGTGCTGTGAGCAGAGTGAGAGAGATGAACGTGAAATTTCACACAGTTCATATAAACAGGGGAGAAGCCATTTACAAACCAAAAATGGAGTGTGACTTGTGAAATCTGAATAGTTTCTAGCTAGAGGCTAAAAGCCAAAGCTAAAAAAGACGTTATTTTTATTTTATTGGTTTTCTTCTTCTTTTAGGCAAATAAAATAAAAGTTGAAAAAGAGATAGATTCGTGAGTAGGGAAGCACACGCGCCGATGAAGCTCGTGGTTTTTGGCGGTCAACAGTCTCCGACAAAACGCCTTATCGTGTGGGCAATGAATGTGTTAAAATATAACCACTTAAAAAAACAAGTTTTTTTTTGTTAATTATAATTAATTTTGAAAAAATTGATATAGTATGTTGTTGGTGAGATTTTAAATTTATATTAAAGTAATATTTAAAATAAAATAATTAAATATGATGTAAAAGTATGAGAAAGAATATGCGAAATGATGATTAATTAAAATTATATGAATATATGAATAGTGAATTAAAGTTGATGTGATTTGTAAGAACGTTTGATTGCTATTATTTAATTATATTAATATATTGAAAATACTAGAGTTGAGTTAAAATTGAATGGTTGAGTTAAAGTTGAGTAAATTTTAAATATAAATTGAGTTTATTAATAAACGTACTTTTGTAATGCTAGTAGGTCCTAATACAAAAATTCTATGGAGCCATCTACCACTTATTGTATTGACACATGTCCAAATTGTATTTATTGCAGGACATGTGTCAATACACTATTGATGAAAAACTGGGTCCTAATATTGGTTGGAAGAAGTTCGTCACATGGAAGTCGAAGGAATACTCCAAGTTAGTTTTTTTGGGTAGTTTTTTCTAATTCCCTAGAGAAGTCCTTGGGTAGTTTTTTTGGGTAGTTTTTTTTCTAAAGGTTTGATTATTTTTTAAATAGTAACTATCTCCCTAAAAAAAAAATCTATTTACTATTTCAAGAAATTAATTTAACAATTATGGTATATTTCAAATAATGACTTATGGAAATTGCGGCTCATTATATAAGGAAATGATATAATTATGACATAAAAAAATCATTTTTAAGATACCTTAATTACTCAAATCATATGAATTTGGCTGATTTACGTAATTATGGGAATTTCGGCTGCAATATCAATGATGTGATTTGGTAAAAATCTTCCAACAAAATTATGTAATTAATTATTTAATAAGTATTTTGTATTTTTCGTGTAATTCTTTTGTGAAATGCATTTTTAATATAACTTAATTACGCAAATTGTGTAAATCCAAATGATTTATTCAATCTGCTAATAATTACTAGAATTATGAAAATATCAACTAAAATAATCAATAACTGTTTTTTGAATCTTTTTTATTTTTATCTATAAGAAAAACGTGGGTCTCAATTTTGTTTTGTACGCTGGGATTTAATTTTGTGGTAAAACTGAATATCATTTTTTGTATTTTGTCAATAAAGTATGAAATCGAATTATTTGGTATACTATATATTGATCCAACATACCCACTTATGGTAAAAAATGGTATTTCAATATTTTTTTTTATTGCTTAGCATTTTACTCGATAGTGATGAGAGAACAATCTGGAGAATACTATAGTTTGTAAATGTTCCTGCAACATATCAAATTATTTTGTATATATATATATAGATAGATCGATAAAGGTTTGTATTTACTTGAATCACATTGTAGTCAAATCGAATTTTTGAATAAAATTTTAAAATGACACCTTTTTCGAAATGAATATGATGTAATTTATTATTAGTTACGTGCACCGTACGGGTCGTGTACCAATTTTAAATAGGCATATATAATGTAATTTTGCACAATTAGATTTCATATAACATTTTCAACAATTTTTTAATTTATAAATATTATTTATTTGAGCATTTTTTTATAAATATTAAAGAGTAATTCTTATCCGTGCATCTCACGAGATTCGTACCAGTGAAAAGTACACAAAGATTAGCATAATCCAAATATGCATATCCTTATTAGATAATGTCACATTGTTTAATTAACATGTTGGCCTCACCCGTCTAACACATAAAACTGTTTTACTAAATAATTTGCAAATTTTTTACATGGACAAATATACTGTGTATGTTATGTCATTTTTTAAAAAAAATACACATTTTTCTTATTCTCACCTGTGCTTGTGTCACATCTCTTCATAGCTTATGTATATCATATTCATAGGATTAAATGCTTGTCTTTTAGATCACATGTGGCTTGGAAGAAGAATGATAACGTAAGGTAACCCCCACTTAATTAATCTTTAATTTAAAGGAAAAATTAGGTGTAACAATCAATCAAAAGAATTGGTTGTGTAAAGGAGGACAAGACAAATATTAAAGGGAATTAGGTAGTAAATGGGCTCATCCAATTTGTTTCACATGTACATGTAAGTTTGTCTTAGATGGGGAGATAAGTCAATTATCCATTAAAAAATGTAGACAAGAAACTAAAATGATCTTGATGAAAGTCAAGATGGTCTTAAATGAGTTTAAACAAGTTTTTGACTCTTTTGAGAAAATATCTTGAGAGTTGTGGCCAATTTCAAATCATCACTAATGTGATCATCATATTTTTCCCAAAATTCACATTTACGCTTTAGTACTATGAGAAATTTATATACACATGCTATAATTAGAGGATATCAAATTAATGAAAATGAAAAAAAAAATAAAAAATTGCCCATTCTTTTAGTAAATTATGGTGAAATTGTTTTATCTTAATTAAATATAATCATATTTTATTAACTATTCTATCATACAATAGTTATCATTAAAAACAACTAATCAACATTCAATTAATTCTCATTGATTTTAATGGCATAGCCAAACCGCTTAAATAATAAGAAAAAATCTATTATATTATTATTAGTATTTTAATATTTTTCAGTTCGTAATGATCTTCAAAGTTAAAAAATTGTATTATTCACGTGTAATTAAATTATTTATATTTATATTATTCATTTACTAATGATCAAATTTATACAACGTGACATGTCCATTATTTATTGTATAATTTTAATGTTATACATATAATTTATAATAATAATAAATTGAAAAGTCCAAATCAAGTATTTATGATAAAGTGGAACAATTCTTGATGGCTCCCATAATTCAATTCTAGACCATTCTATCAAGTGATGATGAAGCACTTCGCAACCACTCAATTTGGAATGAGATTCTCACTATATTGTGCTCCATCAAAAGTTACATGTTCACCAAAGGCTTGAAGTATGCACTAAAAGGACATCTACACAAGTTTTAAAGTAGATTTTTGAAGTCACACCTACAAATAAACAAATCTTATTCATATACTCAACCGGTCCACTTCCAAGTCAATTAATAATTCCTTGTGATTAGCGGAAATCTAGCATGGCTACACCTNCTATTATTTAGTTATTTTGTTTTTAAATTACATCCTTGTGCACCTCCTCCTTTTTTCCTTATTGCTTTAAAACAAACTGATCCACAAAATAGGCTTGCTAATCATGCTATTATCATTTTCTTTTCTACCTTTTTTGCATGAATTTTTTCTCTCTTCCATCATGATTTTTCTATACAGCCAGAAAAAGAGAATTGTCGAAAGCAAAGAAGGTCAGCGTGTGGGGATCTTCTCATGGGGTTTGAGTTGCTTACATGTTCGGATTTTGGCCGAGAAGTTGGATCCAAGTCCAGAGCTGGGATGACCTCAGCCGAGTTGTTTGTACGACATCATCAAACTCCAACAGGCTAGAAAAAATCAAGATCAATAGTGTTAAAGACATAATTTTTTTGAACACGAATGGACGATATATCTCAGGCACACATGAAGCAAAGGGCCTGAAAATTGTTACCCGATAAATTCCAGCTTGAAATTTGATCCGCAAATGCCGTTTTGAGTGTTTGGAGAAAACCTCCTCAATGCATCTCGAACTCGATATTTGCTAGAATTTGATTTTGTTTTCATAGTAAATGATACATAACTAAATGAGTGGAATTTAGCAGGAGGAGAAAATACTGATGTCGAAGAGTCACAACATTGCTTTATATAGCCTATTTGTGGATAGACCTGCAAACGAGCCGAGCCAAATCGAGCATTGACCTTATTGAGTAGGATTGAATTTTTTTTAGCTGCTCAAGCTCGAGCTCGATTTATGAGGCTCGAGCACAACTCGATAAGAAAATACAATAGCTCAAGCTCGACTCGAAAATTTTTAAGTGAAATTACCATGAAGCACTTGTGTTATACTATTTAAATAATTAAATATATATAAGGAGTATTTTAGTAATTTAATAATATATGGAGCCACTCGACGAGCCGCTCGACAATGCAAAATATGGGCTCGAGCCACTCGAGCTCGACTCGACGAGCTGCTCGACTCGTTTGCATCGTTTGCAGCCCTATTTGTGATGCTTTACAAAATGCAGTAAAATAATAAGCTACTATTAAAATGAAAAGTTAACAAATCAACCATGGTTTTATTTTTATTTTTATTTTATTTTTTCATCATGGAACTAAATGGTTCTTGAATTATCACAGAATCAGGGTATCCTCTGATTTTCAACAAACTTAACTAACAAAGCTGAGGATCTCAAGTAATCAAGCTGGGAAGAAGGAAATAATGTATAACTAGTATCGACAAGAAGAGAAAAAACACAAGCCAGAATTAAAGCATTAAAACATACCTGAAATTTACATGTTTTTGCNTGATTTTCAGGTATTAACATATGCAGAATTTTTTTCCAGAAGGGCAATAAAACAAAGAAAATACAATTATAAACAACACTAACAAATATCAATGAGTATATTGAATACTCACTCTTATGCGAATCTGCATACTTATATAGCCACCACATGAGAGAGAGAGAGAGAGAGAGAGAGAGAGAGAGAGAGAGAGAGCAATCTTCCAGATATTTCACTTACTGTAATAATACTACAGTCTACAGGGAGTTTCACAACACCTAATCCATAAAAAGCTGGCATGCAGTCCTAATTTACACGACTCTAATAATTCATAATACAGAATAATGAAACTAATGGACGGGCTATGAATCCGCACGTCCTATGAACTCGTCTTCGCTTTCGCTCCTTCCGCCGCTAAACGTCTCGTCATCGCTTACATCATCACCACTTTCATCTGTTAAGTTGTTCTTAATGTGCTCCTTCTTTGCGTACCGCTGGCAATACTCTAGGCCACAACAAAAAAGAGCAATTTAGACACAAGTGGTAAAAATAGTTGAGAATCAGAAGTCTTAACAGTTCTTACAAAGTAGTTAAAGCCAGCATTTGGTAGTGCACACGAATATGTTGTAAACGTTTATATTTACAGTAGGCATGATCTACAAGAAGTTGACATTTGGAGACATTTAAATTTACTTATTTTGAAAGTCAACACCTCTCTCTCTCTCTCTCAGTGATTGCAAAACAACCGGTCAACCCAAACAATTTTCCTCTATAGACTACTTCTTTATCTCAAACTTCCGTTTTTTCTCTCCCTTTTTTAAAAAAAGATATATGCAAGAGATTTGGATCCCTCAAATGGAAAGAGAGAAGAATGCAATTCACCTTTGACTTTTTGTTCATATTTGGTTTTGTCTTTGATCATCAGTGATGCTGCATCACCGTTAAGTGGGTCCGATGGATTTGGGTAGAGTAGAAGCTGAGGGAGGAAAACCTCAAACACATTCAACAGATCTGCATATTATTAAATACATACACTTGTCAGGGAAAACCAAACTTCATACCTCGTAATGAAGCTATCTGATTTTAAAAGCAGTTTGTTCAAATTCTTGTAAGAGTTTATTACCATTGTTAGAAGTTATGTTTATCAACCACCAAAAGATACTATTCTGGAGATCAAAACTTTCTTCACTAAAGTTAAACCTTACCAAACATTGGACTCCATGACTGGTTAATAACATCCAAGCATACAGAACCAGACCTATCCATTCAAAAAAGCCAAAACTGATAACTATGGGAAAATAATGTAATTCA